GATACATATTATGTCATATTTCATATTCAGCAGACTGGATTTTACCTTTCTCCTAACCTTACACACTGATCCTGCACTTTTAATATCATTCTCCAGATTATTGCACAGTTTTATTCCTCACACTGAAGTACATCGTTCCTTCAAACTAGTTCAGATTTTAGTTTCACAATCACCTCTGTCCCTTTTAGAGTGTTGTAACTTTTTCTCTTAACAAAACTTGATTGGATGTTCAAAGGTAATTTATTTTTATGAGCCTTATAAATAATCTGCAAAAAGTTGTGATCAACCACCTCATAGGATTTCAATAATTTCAACTGACAAAATAATGTATTTGATGGGTAATCATAATGTTTTTTGTGATAATTCTCACAGCTCTTTTCTGCAAAAATAAAAACAGGATTTGTAATTGTTTCACACGCTTTCCCCCAGACTTCAACACAGTAAACCAAATGTGGAACAATCATTACATTATACAACATTTACAAAGCTTTATCATTAAACAGCTCCCTTACTTTATATAGTAATGCAAAAGATTTAGCTGCTTTAATACATAATTAATACATAATTCTACATAATTCACATGAGATCTCCATGTCATCTTTTTATGAATGATGACTCCCACAAACTTCACTTCACTGACTCTACACATATCAACATTTCAGTTTCAGGCAGTGACTGTGTTCAATGGTTTATAGAGAGAAAATTATTTTTCTCTTTTTGTCCCCAGGTTATATTTGTCCTCAAGTGTGGCTTAATATCATAAATGAAACAAAGTATTTGTCAAAAAAAATGATCTTCCATTTTCCTGGCTGCAACTGCAGAACAGCTCAGGCTGCAGAAAATTCTTCTTGTTTACAGGATTCTCTTTGAATTATTGAAAACCTGAGTTTCTCATTTTTCACACACTAAGAGTGGAGACGAGCGCAGAAGTAGTGTTGGAGATGAAGGAGCTGGGGCGAATCGTGGCCCCTGGAACAGCCTCCGTCGCCTCACGTTAGAGCGCCTCACACCTGCCAGGAGGGCGTGGTCAGGGGAGGAGCTTAGAATGAAGGACAACGAGGCCAGAGCTTTGTCCCTTCAGAAGACACAGCGTGGCTCGTTTCTCCCTCATTATGGGTCGACAGTAAACTGCAGCTCGTGTCCTCAGAGAGCAGCACTTTGGAAACATGAGCTGAACCTCTCAGCTCCTGATGTCTTTAGTCCTGACCTTGGTTCTGGTAAGAGAAGGCTCAGAAAAGCTCACCTGCTCATTGTTGTGATCATTCCACTGCCTTACAACAAATATGAAGAAGAGTGAGAAATCATCTGTTTCATCCATCTTTCCTGACATTTTCCACGTTGCTTTGCTGGTTCTTCATTTCGTTTACTGAAACATTTCATCAGGACCACACGTCATCCTTCACTTTTCTTTATTGACAAACCAAATATCCATTTTTATTTGTGAGCTTTAATATTTACTTCCTTCTTAAGCTCCCTGATTAGTTGTAACATTAGACTTTATTTGATAAACATTTATTTTAACTGTAAAAGAAAGACTGTAAAAATACTGTAGGATGTTTAGTTTTTATCATTTTTAAAATATATTTTAACACGGACAGAGCCATTTTATTTGCACACAAAGCATTCTGGGTAAATGATGACGTGGATAGGTCCTCGGTGCAAGGCTGCTAGCGAGCTATATCCACCCTGA